GACATTGATATTACCACTGAATTCTACAGTTGAAATTGGCAGTATATAGAAGCGAAGAAATGACCGTGTTATGTTATTACTGAAACTTGCAGCTCATATTGTCCAGTATGCAGGGTTCAAGAAATTGATATTGCTACTAAATCCTACAATTGAAATTGCCAGTATATAGCAGTAAAGAAATGACATTGTTATATAAATACTGAAACTTGCAGCTTATATTGCTAATTAATTAGGACAAAAGCCAAGGCGGGGCTTCAAAAAAAAAAAAAGGTGGGGGGGGGAGGGGGGGGGAGGGGGGGGGGTTTCCACATGGTGACAAGTGAGCACATTAGTAAAACATGAGTAAGTAAATTCTACCCCACCAGGAGATCACACAAGCGATAAACACCCGGTGACACAAAGTGCCATCATGCGGATGAGGATTACCCATGGAGAGATCCCATAAACGGCATTTAACCGTTGGGTTATAATTGCGACCCCGGCCTAGGGGTGGGCCTTCAAGAAAAAATTACACAACACACAGGGACGACGTTGATTAGTATAACTTGATCTATCTATCTTTCTTCTTTTATCCACCAGGACATCACTCAAGCGACAAACACCCGATAACACAATGTGCCACCATGTGGATGAGGATCACCCGTGGAGAGGTCCCAAAAGCAACATTCAGCCATTAGACCATATTTATGGTCGGGCTATATTGCGGTTCCTGGTCAGAGCCAGTGCGGGGCTTCGAAATACAGAAAAATTGTATGTCACAAGGAGATGTATGGAAAACAAGGGATGACTGACTGACTGACTTTCTACGCCACCAGGATATCACACAAGCGATTAACACCCGATGACACAGAGTGCCACCATGTGGATGAGGATCACCGTGGAGAGGTCGTGAAAAGAGTAACAAGTTATGTTTCTTAAGGGAGAAGTCAATTTCTAAGATTATGTCCCTTTATATATATATATATATATATATATAGATATATATATATATATATATAGATAGATAGATAGATAGATAGATAGATAGATAGATAGATAGATAGATAGATAGATAGATAGATAGATAGATAGATAGATAGATAGATAGATAGATAGATAGATAGATAGATAGATAGATAGATAGATAGATAGATAGATAGATAGATAGATAGATAGATAGATAGATAAATAGATGGATAGATGGATAGATGGATAGATGGATAGATGGATAGATGGATAGATAGATAGATGGATAGATAGATAGATAGATAGATAGATAGATAGATAGATAGATAGATAGATAGATAGATAGATAGATAGATAGATAGATAGATAGATAGATAGATAGATATAGATAGATAGATAGATAGATAGATAGATAGATAGATAGATAGATAGATAGATAGATAGATAGATAGATAGATAGATAGATAGATAGATAGATAGATAGATAGATAGATAGATAGATAGATAGATAGATAGATAGATAGATAGATAGATAGATAGATAGATAGATAGATAGATAGATAGATAGATAGATAGATAGATAGATAGTCAGCTGTAAGTTTAGCATCTACATTTCCCGTGTGGTTTCTGTGGCCCCATAGTGGGGGAAACAAGTACCGACCCACTGTCTCCCCAGCAAGCATGTCGTAGGAGAAAGTGGGAGCTTTCTTCGAAGTCGGAGTGCATCTGCCAAGTGGCAAGGAACAACCAGTTGCACACAAATAAACTAATACAACGGATGTACGCGCAAAACTCAGGCCCTGACACAAAGCAAAGTCCAAATGGACGAACAACCAGGACTTTCCGCCAGAGATCACAACTGGTGAGCAAAGAAGAAGAAGAAGCTTTGAGAAATGATCTCAGTGGATGGTAGGCAGGGAAACTGCAACAATGGCAACATTGGGGTATGGCCTCATCCTCCTTGTAAATATTGCCTCTTGTTCACGATTTTATGTTATCAGTCTATGATTTATCTGTCTTCTTCACATTCTTAATGCTTTCTTCTTGCCTGGAAGTTTACATTTGAGGGTGCCCAGGTGAGTTCTGAACTCCCATTTTGTGCTAAAGGAAAAAAATACAGCCACTGCCCTCAAATTAAGACGCCGTAAAAGGCCAGAAATTAGGGATTTACTGAAATCATATATGTTTAGCCGAAAAAGGCAAATATGGCAGCTAAGCTATAGACCACAATGCACCGGGCCAACCGCCATTCGAAAGGCGAGAGCACAAGCAACGAAGAAACCTTTCAGCATTTTCGCACTTGTTACATGCATAAACGGTTAGTTGCGTATCCTTTACAGGACGTTGCAGAACCAGCCCCAACAGTCCCTGGCTGTTGTGTGGTTTTTCTAGGCAAATTTACGTCTAGTAGTTTGCCATTGCTTTTTGGACGGTCGGCTTCCTTGATACCACTGTCGAAACCAACGCAAGGAACATGGCCTGCAGTTGGGATCGAACCCATCATCCCGGCATTACGAAGACATGCATAAACCAGATAAAATGTCAACGCTCTGAAATTAACAAACGTCAATTTTTATGATCAGCAAACGGATTTATTGTGTATATTATGTAGTCATTTGTCTTGTCCTTCCCAAAATGTGTGTGCAGTGTTGTCTTATAGATTGCGTACGCTGCGGCGATCAGATTAAGAACAAACTTTTCAACTGAATAAAGCTTCCCAGTCAAACTTCGATGAATGTCGTTGTTGCAACCCACTTGCCTGCAGTCGCCATGTTCTCATCACTAGTGAATGTAAGTGCTTCTTATAAACTGCTAATACAATTCGACAGATGCAGTTGAATCGTGAGCACAAGAAACTGTGGACAGTTAAAAGTGAATCCACAATGCTAAGCTTTCTCTTCGTTGATTTTTTAATTTACGATCCTTAAAAATAAAAATGTGTCCTTTCCTTTGTTCTGTTTCACCTATATTCTACGTTGTGGTTTTCACCGTCCGTGTTGAATTCTTCATTTTAATTTTTTGAATTAACACTGCCTGCTTTCAATTCTACATTCCCCCGTGTGGGTTCCGGGGTCCCATTGTGGGGAAAACAAGAATAGACCCACTGCCTCCCCAAAAGCATGTCGTAAGAGACGACTAATTGGGGAGCTTCCTTTGAAGTCGGAGTGCATCTGCCGGAGAGGCAAGGAACCAACAGTCTGTATTCAAGAGAATGAGATCTGTAAAACTGATGCACACGCAACACTCAGGTTCTGGAGCAGGACTGCAGTTCAGTAGTGGACGAGCAATCAGAACCTTCCGCTAGAGTTTACAGCTGGTGAACGCGAAGAAGAAGAAGAAGAATTCTACATTTTATTCTATTGTTTTACATTTATGTGTTAATTTCTACATTCTAGTCTGTAGTAGTAGCATTGTCTATGTTGAATTCTACATCTTAGACTGTAGCTATGACATTGTGTTGAATTCTACATCTTAGACTGTAGCTATGACATTGTATTGAATTCTACATCTTTGGCTGTAGCTATGACATTGTGTTGAATTCTACATCTTTGACTGTAGCTATGACATTGTACTGAATTCTACATCTTTGACTGTAGCTATGACATTGTATTGGATTCTACATCTTAGACTGTTGCTATAACATTGTATTGAATTCTGCATCTGTCTGTGTTGAATTCTACATCTGTCTGTGTTGAATTCTACGTCTGTCTGTTTCGAATTCTACATCTGTCTGTGTTGAATTCTACATCTGTCTGTGTTGAATTCTACATCTTTGTCTGTAATTGTAACATTGTCTGTGTTGAATTCTACATCTTTGTCTGTACCATTTTCTGTGTTGAATTTCACATCTTTGTCTGTAACTGTAACATTGTCTGTGTTGAATTCTACATCTTTGTAATTGTAACATTGTCTGTGTTGAATTCTACATCTTTGTAATTGTAACATTGTCTGTGTTAAATTCTACATCTTTGTCTGTATTTGTAACATTTTCTGTGTTGAATTTTACATCTTTGTCTGTAATTGTAACATTGTCTGTGTTGAATTCTACATATTTGTAATTTTTAAATTGTCTGTGTTGAATTCTACATCTTTGTCTGTAACTTTAACATTGTCTGTGTTGAATTATACATCTTTATCTGTAATTGTAACATTGTCTGTGTTGAATTACACATCTTTGTCTGTATTTGTAACATTTTCTGTGTTGAATTCTATATCTTTGTCTGTAATTGTAACATTGGCTGTGTTGAATTCTACATCTTTGTAATTTTAAAATTGTCTGTGTTGAATTCTACATCTTTGTCTGTAACTGTAACATTGTCTGTGTTGAATTATACATCTTTGTCTGTAATTGTAACATTGTCTGTGTTGAATTACACATCTTTGTCTGTGATTGTAACATTGTCTGTGTTTAATTCTACATCTTTATAATTGTAACATCGTGTGCGTTGAATTCTACATCTTTGTAATTGTAACATTGTCTGTGTTGAATTTCACATCTTTGTCTGTAACTGTAACATTGTCTGTGTTGGATTCTACATCTTTATAATTGTAACATAGTGTGTTTTGAATTCTACATCGTTGTAATTGTAACATTGTCTGTGTTGAATTCCACATCTTTGTCTATATTTGTAACATTTTCTGTGTTGAATTTTACATCTTTGTCAGTAATTGTAACATTGTCTGTGTTGCATTTCACATCTTTGTAATTGTAACATTGTGTGTGTTGAATTCTACATCTTTGTAATTTTAAAATTGTCTGTGTTGAATTATACATCTTTGTCTGTATTTGTAACATTTATGTGTTGAATTTTACATCTTTTTCTGTAACGGTAACATTGTCTGTGTTGAATTCTAAATCTTTGTCTGTAACTGTAACATTGTCTGTGTTGAATTCTACATCTGTGTCTGTTTTATAAAAGTATCCGTATTTAATTCTACATCCTAGATTGCGGTAAAACATAATCTGTGTTAAATAAGTCGTTTCAATCTGTTGTTATAATGTTGTCTGTATTAAACTTAACATCATAGACTGTTGTTTAACACCCCCGTCAGATTTAAGATTTGAAGAGAAGATAGTAACAAGGGACACCGATTGTATGAAACACGCAGAAGAAAATGTTATCCCATGTTGCGGACCTCAGAGAGCAACTAGGGGCGGTTGCTTGCACTCTGTGATGTGTTTTTGCTTCATTACAAGCTTTTGTCTCCGACGGTGAAACTCTAACATTCGGAAATGATTTCTTCTGAAAAGTATACGCAGAGTGGGCATCTTTAGATTGTCTATTTTCAAAAGAATCCTTGGATGGTTGAGTGGTTGGAGCAGCTTCTTCTCCATGGGAGAAGATCTGGGTGCTATCAGCGCCAACACCTCGTTGACCTTGTGGTAGGATCTTCTGTTCTTGTTCATACTTTCGCATGACGAAGATAGTTGCCATCATTGCAAACACGCCCTGGACGTTAATCAGCACCAGAAAGAGAGGCAGTCTGGGCAAACTAGACATGTTCCTGGGCATGGTACCCCTGTTGGACCAATAGAAAATAATAATATTAATTAGATTTTTTTTTCAACTTTGATTGTCTCAGTAGAGTATAGGCCGTTAGTCAGTTCACGGCACGTCCTTTGCAGTCTTGTTCCTGATCAGTTGGATTTTCAAAATCCCCAAGTGTAGTGAACCCATTTTCCTCTCGATAAATTATGTCCCAGACGGAATGACATCAGCTCATTAAAAATGAATGGAATATTTGAGTGTAACTAGGACAGCGACGTAAATCACGGGGAAATGCTGGCCAAATGAAACTCATGTGAATCTTAAAGAAATGCTGGCCAAAGGAAACTCACGAGAATCTCGGAGAAATGCTAGCCAAATTAAACTTATGCGAATCTCGGAGAAATGCTGGCCAAATGAAATCCGTGTAAATCTGAGAATAAGGAGAGGTCGTAATTATAAAGGGGGGTGGGGGGGCTAGAAGGTTATGTAATGCCTCAGAAAGAGCATATGGGCAGTCTCGTTTAGGCCTAGGAAATGAATTCATGAAGTTTGGAGAAGTGGCTGCTTGATCCAGAAAGTGTTCGAGTCCGATATGTCTGCAGAGTGATTTCCAAAGCCTACCTGGCCAACAGCAACGACTGTCGGAAGCCCCGCAGTCAGCTGATTATGTGTGTGTTTTTGGTTCAGATGGATCCTTCGTTATCTTTCAATTGCTGTGGTGATGGAACGTTTATTGTAGGTTATAGTTAATATTTTCGGTGAGTCAGGATAGACAAGAGTGACTGTGTTATACCATAACATGTACTGGCTGAAGTACCAGCGAGTGGTCAAATAAAGAGCGACATAACTTTGTATCGTTCGCGATCGTCCATGTTTTCTCGTGTGTTGTCGGTCAGTGAATGGAATCGTGCAGTAACTTGAGCCAGAAAGAGAAAGAACAGAGACATTGCACCAAGTTCTTTGCTGACTGGTGCGAGCGATCATGACTCTCCACAATCTTTAACAGCAAATATCACTTCAGGTGATGATAACTCTATAGCGAGAAACCGAGTTTCTGTCAAGCAGATCATGATGAGAGCGACGTTCTGCAAACTACATGATTATGAATATCGTGTATCAGTTCGTTTGGGTGCTTTTTAACCATAAAATAATGATGTTTAGTCCTTCTTTGACTTACTCTAATTCTTTTCCCACAAATAATTAAATTGTACTACAGCATGTTACATGCTTTGAAAAAAAAAAGGTGTCCAAAACCTAATGACTGTATCATTCTCATGTTCGTCGTTGTTTCTGCATCTTAGCGTCTTTCTGCTTCTTCTATTGCTTGTCATTTATCTCCTAAACTCCAACGAAGAGTTCTAGTTATTCGTCAACATCTAGACTGTATTTTTGCTACGGATCTTGAGTTTTGCATGCACTTATGTTTTACAGATCTGGTTTACTTGTATATAGTCTGTGTTCTCCACGCGAATCAGGCAGATGCGTTCTATTTTTAAGGAAATTATAGTTCTAAACACCTAGCAACATACTGGTGTTAATTACATTAGCAGGTATGTTCTCTTGACCTAACCCTTCCCCTTTTCTATTGTAAGTTTATTTCGAGTAATCTGATGTGTTTGAATGTTTTGGAATGTGATCAAGCTATGACAGCCTTTGCTTCTTTATTGCTTTGTGTAGTCGTCATGCAAATAGCAACATTCTTAAGCAATTGAATTGATACTTTCTTGGAATAGACACAGCATCTGATGCAGGATGTCTTGCAGAAATTATAACAAGAATCGCCGTGGCAAAGGTGGCCTTTAGCAAGGAGCAAAAGATAATTACCAAATAAAAAAGAATTAGCTGCAGGGACTAAAATAGTGTTAAACTGCTAGATAGAACATGTGATCGCTTGTGGAAACGGACAAGACTAAAAATACTCACTCGTTGCAAAGACAGTCATGGGGCGATAGACAACACGAGACCGTTCTTCTTGGGTCAGATGAAAACCGTAAACCAGTCACAGAAATTTGACGAAGAGAGTCGGTATTTTTGGACATGCCATGAGAAAGTATAGACTCGAGGAGCTGGTTACAACTGTCATAACTGATGACAAGAAGAGAAAGGGGAAGGCAAAGAGATAAATAAACCTGGATGGATTGATCATGGGAATGGAGCGAGATAAGATAAGTGATTCTGAGGATTGCGTGAGTTGTCGAAACGGGATAGAGATGCTTATCGGCACGGCACACGATGATGATGAGCGTCTTCGCTCTGCACCACTAACAATGTGAAAGATAAACCAATAACTTTCGATCTTCACTAATGGATGCGACTGTCAATACTTTCTAATATAAATTAATGGCCATTTGTAAAGTTTTTTTTAACGCCTTGACTCATGCTGGCTGAGTATTATACTTTAAAAAAACAACTGTATTCAATGTGCGATGTGATCAGCACCATACTGGGTGCCCTTTCTTTCCTAGAAATCTCAAAGTTGCTGGTCAGTATTTAAAACTGTCTGCTTTAACGAATAATTTTAATACAAAATTGCCAGCTCTAACGAGATTATAACAAAACATTGCCTGCTTTAACAAGATTCTAGCACAAAATTACCTGCTTTAACGAGATTCTAACGTTTCTTCGCCCAGCTACTGCTTGAGCGCTTGATGCGACACTGTGGGCTGTGGATTTAATGTGGAATGATGCGATTGTTTCTTGCTGTGCCCATGGTGTGTTGTTAACTGCAGTATGGCGTGCAATTTTGCGGATGCAATGCTAGATTTCATGAATGACGGTTTGCGCCTACAGTAGGCTGCGATTCTCGTGTGGAACCTTTAGTGTTGGCACATCTGTATGCCAAACGGTGCACTTTTATTGTTCTATGTTCTGCTGGGACTGACAAGCTGCTCACTATTTCTAAAATGGGACAGTAAAGGATATTTTATTTTATTTCCACTGCCACAGGAGCTGGGCTTTTATGGAACGTCCTTTCTGCAGTGATACTGGAACGTCGACTAACTACTAACACGATTATCTGGAATTTAGGCAAAAGTGATTCTTCTATGCAAGCTGCACAAGATGGGGGAAGGAGGAAGGAGGGGGTGGGAATGTGGAAAATTGATCCATCTTATACTTACGCAATGAAGTTGAGAAACACAGCTTCAGAGACAAACACGGTGACCAAGAAAGAGATCTTTTCCCCAGAACTTGGCGGGATCCAGAAAACGACAGAAGTCACTAGTGCAGTCAGAATCATTGGCGCTAAAACACACAACACGTAGAATAGTGGCCGCCGTTCTATCTTCATTGTGAAGCTGGACGAGGAAAATCAATGATTAAATAATAGTATTCTGAATGGCAACAAAATAATAAATAATTTTTTTTTCTCCTAAGTCATGGTGTGGGGCGTTAGTATTTACGTCTGTCCCAAACCTTCTGTCTCGTGTACTTTCAGTCAGTTCTGACACGGATGATTTTTCCATGCTATGATGTGAGACTGTCCAGTCTCTTCTTTCTCAATCTCCCACCATCTCCTTTCTCCTCCAACCTTTCTCCTCCAACCTTTCTCCTCCAACCTTTCTCCTTCAACCTTTCTCCTCCAACCTTTCTACTCCAACGTTTCTCCTAAAGCTTTCCCACTACCACAGTGCACTATTAATAAGAAAAACATCTTCGAAATAATTTGGAATGAATGAATCAATACTTTAAAAAAGCACTTCTATACACGAGGGAGGGGGTAAAAGGGGGGAGGGGTTGCCTCTTTACAAATTCTATATGGCTACCTATATAGCGCGTTTACAAAAATCGTATATAATAAACAGATTATTAAATGTCTCGATTGGCATTTGTCTAGTGTGTCCTTCTATCGTTCTGCTTTTTTTTTTTATTAGTGTTGATCACTACATTGTCTGTTTGTTTATTATATACATAATGTTCCTACGTCCTCAAGGTTCCCACCCTCTGTTTATTTATGTGTTTAAAAAATTGTGCCGTTGTATTGTTGATAATGTCTCGATAATTGCTTTTCCTGGGTACGGGATTTGTTGCATGGGCTCCTATCTTCACCTCGATGTTAATATTTTGTTCATAAATCATATTTAGACCGCCCTGTTGCATCGAAACAGATGTTCCCCTTGTTATTTTCAACACCTGAATAATTTTAGTTAACAAAGCAAATTTGACAGTACCGACGCGAAAGACCCTAACCATACATGTTACGCCTTTACAACTTTTCTGGAGTCTTGGAAACGCTTCAGCACACTCATATTGTAGCGCATTGCGACACTTGTAGCACAGCAGTTATGGTTTGAACTTTCTGCTTTGTACCTCTTAAAAGGCAATCCAGCACTGATCATTGTATATTTATACCTCGAATAAGCAATATATGCATTCTAATTACTTGTTATGTTGGGGGAGGGGGGCGTGGGGGATCTGACATAAAGTTGAGAATGAAGTTTATATTAATATATAATTTTATCCATTTATATTCCACTACACCTGAAATATATTTTTGTTTTATCGGCACCGGTTTGTAAACGCCCTGTAGCTCCAAGCTCTCTGTCTGTCCATGCACAGTCCTTGTTTTGTTTTTTTTTCACAATATTTCGCATTTTGATAGTTGGCTTGCTAATGTTGCCCCCATTTGTCCACTGTTGCGTCAGAAGCGCTAGAAACAGTGGGATCAAATATTGAGTCACCCCTCCCCCTTCATTTTAGAGGTTAGCTGAGCGCATTACCCCGGACATTACCCCGTGTGATAGTTACCTGATAATGTTGGCTCCTGACATTTCCCCGTATGATAGTTACCTGATAATGTTGGCTCTGGACATTTTCCTGTGTGACAGTTACCTGACAATGTTGGCTCTGACATTTCCCTGTGTAATAGTTACCTGATAATGTTGGATCTGAACATTTCCCTGTGTGACAATTACCTGATAATGTTGGATCTGAACATTTCCCTGTGGGACAGTTACCTGATAATGTTGGATCTGAACATTTCCCTGTGTGACAGTTACCTGATAATGTTGGATCTTAACATTTCCCTGTGTGACAGTTACCTGATAATGTTGGATCTGAACATTTTCCCGTGTGACAGTTACCTGATAATGTTGGATCTGAACATTTCCCTGTGTGACAGTTACCTGATAATGTTGGATATGAACATTTCCTTGTGTGACAGTTACCTGATAATGTTGGATCTGAACATTTCCCTGTGTGATAGTTACCTGATAATGTTGGATCTTAACATTTCCTTGTGTGATAGTTACCTGATAATGTTGGATCTGAACATTCCCCTGTGTGACAGTTACCTGATAATGTTGGATCTGAACATTTCCTTGTGTGACAGTTACCTGATAATGTTGGATCTGAACATTTCCTTGTGTGATAGTTACCTGATAATGTTGTATCTGAACATTTCCCTGTGTGATAGTTACCTGATAATGTTGGATCTGAACATTTCCTTGTGTGATAGTTACCTGATAATGTTGGATCTGAACATTTCCTTGTGTGACAGTTACCTGTTAATGTTGGATCTGAACATTTCCCTGTGTGACAGTTACCTGATAATGTTTGATCTGAACATTTCCCTATGTGACAGTTACCTGATAATGTTGGATCTGAACATTTCCTTGTGTGACAGTTACCTGATAATGTTGGATCTGAACATTTCCCTGTTTGATAGTTACCTGATAATGTTGGATCTGAAAATTTCCCTGTGTGACAGTTACCTGATAATGTTGGCTCCGGACATTTCTCTGTGTGATAGTTATCTGATAAAGTTGGATCTGAACATTTCCCTGTGTGACAGTTACCTGATAATGTTGGCTCCGGATATTTCTCTGTGTGATAGTTATCAGATAAAGTTGGCTCCAGGAAATTACCCTGTAAGATAGTTACCTGATAATGTTGACTCATGACATTCCTCTGAGAGATATTTACCTGATAATGTTAGCTCCAAGCTGTCCGTCTATGCTGACACTGTGCATGCTCTTGGAGGCGATGGTCCATTCTCCGGTCACAGAGTAGCGGTCTTCCATGTCCCCCAACTGTGAGGCAGACACGTTGTACTTGACGTCATCGAAGGTAGTCAGAAAAATGATACTACATGTCTGCGGAGATGAGGGGGGCTTTTCATATAAGATAGTTGCAGAGAAAATGGAGAAATATGATAATACATATCTGTAGAAAAGATGGAGAAATATGGTACTACATATCTGTAGACAAGATGAAAAAATGTGGTATTACATTTCTGTGGATAGGATGGAGAGATATGACACTACATATATGTGGATAAGATAGAGAAAAAATATACTACTTATCTGTGGATAAGATGAATAAATATGACACTCCATGTTTGTGGATAAGACGGAGAAATAGGATACTACGTATCTATGGATAAGATGGAGAAATATGATACTACAAATCTGTCAATAAGATGAAGAAATATGATACTATGTATGTGTCGATATGATGGAGAAATAGGACACTACATATCTGTGGATAGGATGGAGAAGTATGATACTACTTATCTGTCAATGAGGGAGAGAAATATAGCCCTACATCTATGTGGATCAGTCAGTCAGTAGTATGTCCTCTGCAGAACCATGCTCCCATAACAACCCTCCAAAGAACTTCTCGATAACAAGCAAGATGTCCCGCGGCCGATACTACCATGTGGCGATCATCCGCTACATCCTGCACCCATCATCTCTTTGGCCTTCCTCTTCTTCTCTTCCCAAGCATATACCCCTCCATTATTGTTCCATCTAAACTTTTGTGACGTTTCAAGTGACCAAAATATAAAAATTGTATGTGTTTTTTATCGTCTTTAATAGCCAACCTTCTTCAATATTCAGTTCTTGAAGTATGGAAACATTTGTTCTTCTCTTTACCCAGGATATTGTTAGAACCCGTCTAAAACATTTGTATTCAAAGGCATTTATGCTCTGTTCAGATTGTTTAGTAAGTGTCCAGGTCTCACAAGCGTATGTTACAATGGGAAAGATGCATGCTCTTAGAAATCTAATTGTTGTAGTACTGTCTGTCTCACTCCATAATGTATTTAGTTGTTTTAGTCTTTAAAGAGCAATTAAAAGTTGTTTAATTTCTTTCACTGTGTCACCATTGCTTGTTAATTAATGACCAATTACATCCATATTTCCACAACGTCAAATGTTTCATTAACATATATTTCTTTCTCCATAGTAGTTTTGTCAGTGTGCATTATCTTTGTTTTTGCTATGTTCAGATATAAGTTGTGAGTTTCACTATTTCTTTGTGTTGAGGTTACTAAGTTTTCAATACCAGTCTGTGGTGTGGTTAGCCACATATCCACACATCTGTGGATAAGATAGAGCAATATGACAATACATATCAGCCGATATAACACTGACGTACAGGTTCATCGAGGCAATGCAGCTGATATAACTGAGCACATGAAACCAATTGCAAAAAAGGACAAGAAAGGGGAAATATAGAAAAAGTTGAGGGAGTCACAACAGAGCAGTGGTTAGCATACTCAGGTGACAGCAGAGTGGTTAAAGGTTCAAAGACCACATCAATCATCGAATGCCGATAGGTCTATAGCATAGGAGGCTAGGCGCTAGGCACAGAGGCCCGATGATTGAATGTGTGCTAAAGCTAGCTCTTTACTCTATTTCTTTTCTTAGGCGTGTACTTTATATGTATACAGACAGACAGACAGACAGACAGACAGACAGACAGACAGACAGACAGACAGACAGACAGACAGACAGACAGACAGACAGACAGACAGACAGACAGACAGACAGACAGACAGACAGACAGACAGACAGACAGACAGACAGACAGACAGACAGACAGACAGACAGACAGACAGACAGACAGACAGACAGACAGACAGACAGACAGACAGACAGACAGACAGACAGACAGACAGACAGACAGACAGACAGACAGACAGACAGACAGACAGACAGACAGACAGACAGACAGACACTAAGGAAGCGCGACAGGTAGACAGACAGAAGACAGCAAGGAAGACAGACAGACAGACAGACAGACAGACAGACAGACAGACAGACAGACACCAAGGAAGCACGGCATGTAGACAGACAAAAGACAGCAAGGAAGCAAGACAGACAGACAGACAGTAAGGAAGCAAGGCAGGTCAGGACAGAATAAGAAGAAGACAACAGTTGCAAAAGTTATCACAATTTCAAATACACTGGCAACTGCGACGATGACGCTGACTAAGAGTGTGATGACATTAAATACCTTCTTCAAAATGAGGATAATGTTCTAAGTTAAATAAAAATTATGATGTTGACACTTTTCTTGGCGTACTGGTTGATGATGATGATGATAATGATGATGATGATGATGATGATGATGATGATGATGATGATGATGCTCTTCTTTGACTGGAGGACCACAGTGCTGTCTGAGTTTTCGTTAGATTGGATGTTGATGATGATGAGGATTGTGAGGATGACGACGATGATGAAGATTCAAAGATAATGATGATTATGATGATGATGACAACAATGATGTTAATGAGGATGATCAAAGATGATGATAATGATGATCAATGATGATGATGACGGTGATCAAAGATCATGATGATGTCCTAGCAGACATGACGAGGACACCGAAGCTCACTTGGGTATCAAACGGATAGTAAATCAGATCCATGTTGCATGTTGTCATCAAATAGACCGGAGACGTATACAGCAACAGTCCGCTGGAGAAGAGAAGCATGGTCTGCGTGTTGTCAATCATCAAGTACTCGGGATGTACCCCGTTGGACACTGTTAGCGCCGGGTGCCAGAGTCTGTTGGTGGCGACAAATTACACACAAAACATAATTATTATAGCGTACGTAGGGTGACAATATTATCTTGAGGAGAAAACGGGACATATCACTACTATTTGAACTGAGAACGGGACATATCACTACCATTTGAACTGAGAACGGGACACATCACTAATTTTGTGAGCTGAAAACGGGACATCCCAAACAAGTCAGCTGAATCTCTTACTCTCTTCCACTCCACCTTTGTTTTAATTATTTTTCCCAGGTCACCGGGGTAAACGGGTTAATTACTTGTTCGTCAAAGATATTAAAACCCGAACCATTGCCGCAGAGAAATAAACGAAACAATTTTCCCCTTAAGCACAGTGAAAAAAAAAAAAAAACATGCTACGCGAAAATTCCCGTCTCCACTTTTAGCATTACAAGTATTTAAAACTATAAATTCTAATAATGTTTTCATATATAACTATAATGTATGTTCTATTTCCAAGCTTATTCCTAAATTTGTTATAAATGAGACAATTCCTGTTTGGAGTATCGACGATACAGGCGGGACACTCACGAACGGGACAATCTTGGGGGAAACAGGACGTATTTTCACCCTTTGCGTAGATAAACGACATTTTTAACCTTACCACAACACCAGCACATGAGCGACTAAACCGACGGTTAAGAACACTGTGCTCTGATTCGGATGACCAAAGTTCGAATCCTCAGTAAAGCTGGCTATTATTTTTCTCTCTGTGTGTGTGGGGGAGGGGGGGGGGGTTAAAAGACTAGACTGCGGCACTAAATCCTCTAAATTTTCTGCGAAGTATTCCCTGCATGAAATGATGATGGTGACAAGCATGTGTTCTTTAATTATTTTGTTCTTGCACTAAATGGAAAGTTTTATAACAATAAAAATTGCAAATGATAAAGTGAATGTCACTTTCTGGTGAAAGCACCTCATGCAATAAACCCTTGCCATTAAAAGTATGAAACAGAATTCTTGCAAACCTCATAGAAGCAGTTTTTAAATTAATGCATTACGGTGAGTCCTTGACAATTAGTAAGAAACACAGTTATTTCCCCCTGTGTCTTCTTTTTAGAGATAACCGGGTGTAATCTCCAGCGCAAAATCCTGGTTGTTCGTCAATTTCTAGACTTTTCTCTGTTTCGGTCATCTGAGTTTTTCATGCACATCCATTTTATTTATATGGTTCCCCGGCTCTCTAGCGTAGTTGGCTAAACCGGATTGCGCGGAAACCGGATGACGAACTCCTTGTGGTCCGGCTTCAATCCCGGGGGGTAGGCAGGAAAGCCACATTTCTCCCAGATTAACGGTATTTACAATGGAATCAAGGCCGAAAGGTTGCGATATCCATAGTACCGAGCCTAAGGGTTAACAATTCATGGTTTCTTGATACTAAAACAAACAAAAAATTGATAGGGTTTATTTGTGTGGAGACTCCTGGCTCATCATTTATCAGTAAGATACATTCCGGCTTCAAAAGGGACGATCATATCTACATTGCCCGGGCCACCCGGTTGGGAATAGGATGACAATGGAGAAATGTAGAGTGGTCTTAACTAGTATGAAACCAAGCCCTGAAGCATTACTTGTTTTTCTGCACTTCCATCTCAAATCCATCTCTCCTGACCTCGGAGAGTTTTCACAAAAATTCCCTGAAATACCAACATGTGTACTCTAAATGCTTTTGAAAGAGTCAAAAGGCACAAAGACAACTGATCATATTTATAAGATCAACATTTGAGGCATCATTCATGCAGCACTCTCTAGGGGGAGTTGTGGGTTAGACCCAGTTTGTAATTGTTTCTGTAGTGTTAAAAGCGCTGGCGTGCTTAAATGTACACGTGATATTAACAGATTGCCGAAAACCCTAGCAGTATGCGAAGGTCGACCAGTCAGGAGTTAGCTAGTGTGTAACGTGTTTGTATCACAAACACTGTCAGAGAAGCTGGCGACGCATGAGGCTGGAGAGAAAGAAAATTTATATTATCTTCAAGTGAAGTTTCCGTAGTGGTCTTCCAACCTTCCTTGAACATGAGAAGTGGAGATCTACAACACAGCCCGGTCAATAAGATACTTCAGTAACAGATCGGAGGGAAAGTCTTCACACCAACCAAACTCCTATAAGTTAGTCAAATTCTCCCGGAATGGGTTCCGGGGCTCCATTGTGGGGAAGACAAGAATAGACCCACTGTCTCCCGAACAATCAGAGTGCATCTGCCCGAGCGGCAAGGAACAATCAGCTGTACACAAATAAGCCAGTAGAACAAATGTACTCGCAAAACTCAGGCCTTGGCACAAGACCAATGTCCAAACGGACGAACAGCCAGGACTTTTCGCGGAGCTTACAGTAATGAAGAAAAATATAAAGTTCCTTTTAGAGCTCACAACTTCTTAACGTCAACACTTAGGAATTTGGAGCTAAATCTCAAAGGCGGTTCTAAGTAAATATGAAGTCACACAGTAAAGGCTGTACTCACTCATTATATGGTATGCTTAACATTTCTACTCCTCCATATTCCGTCTTGTTCCATCTGAGATCTTTGTCCAACCATGTCATCATCAGGTACCCTACTGACGTCACCGCTTGCTGAACCTCATCCACCATCAGAACCTAGGTGTAAACATATGCCAGTCCTATTTCTATGGTGCAAAAGATGTTAAGTAAATGTGTAATGTAGCGTTTAGATTGTTTCACCCGTAATGAATAATACAAAGGTACGATGCATGAGTTATGTTGCCGTCCTTTTTAGGACGCAATTTTTCGTTATTTGAGGCCCTACTCTGGCTCATGCCAGGGGCTGCAATAGTCCGGCCATAAATATGGCCTAATGGCTGAACGAGGTTTCTGGGACCTCTTCACGGGTGATCCTCATCCACATGGTGGCACTTTGTGTCATTGGGTGTTTATCGCTTGGGTGATGTCCTGGTGGGGTAGAAAGTCAGTCAGTCAGTCAGTCAGTCAGTCAGTCACAATACAAAGGTAATGTTAGTTTAGGAATCTTTAACGCTAGTGGTATACCTTTTTCTTTCTGTTACCTTCTTCTTCTCCATCATTCCTGGCAACTGGGATTCATGTTCATTCACAGCTGCAGATATCACCCGCCTCTAAATCTCTGTGAGTAGCCCTCTCTTTCCATTTGGGGACTCCAAGTATATGTAAGTCTGCCTGTATATTATCTCTCCACTGTCCTGTGGATGTGCCTCGTTATCAACTCCCAACTACTCTTTCCTGTGCGCAGTTGTCTCTCTGTACCTACCATTTTCTCCATGTGACCAAACCGCTGCAAAGTGTTAGCCCGCATGATGCCAGTAATTACTAGGTATTTATTCAGATAACGAATTTCATTGGTTTATGCATCATGATTTTGATGATACTAGAAATAACATAACAAAATAAATTAGGAAGTACTGATTGGCACTCAGAGAAGTAGCTGACAAAAATCAAGATTAGAAATCACACGTCTTACGCATTTCGTGGTGACCACGTCACCCACCCACCCATAAAATATAGGTCTAGCTGTGTATGCCCAATACGCATAAAGCCGTGGACAATGGTCCTTTTCTTTACAGTTTTTGATCATGACTGATGAGCGGACGGCGAATCAGGGTTACTTTCGCCTTGGACAGTTATGGCCAACATACTCTCCAAAGGATAGTCCATGAAATTCAAAATAATAGCATTTTAGATTTTCTTGAAACCACCAGCTCTCGTGTTTCCTTCTATGGTAACACCACAGCCCTATACCTCAACCCCATAAGTTTACCTGTAGCATGCTGAAGATCTCCAGTGTCCTTTGTCGTACGCAAGCATAATCATTTGCCTCCTAAACACTTCTATTCATAACTCATGTCTGACGACCTCTATACGTGTCACACACACGCACTTTCGCACCCGAACAAATACACATACACACCTAGACACACACACACAAACACACACAAAATACTATCTCCTCGCCTAGAATAAAGCCAGTTTTCCAGATAAAAGATAGTCAAGCGAAAGATGACGGTACATCTGGGCCACCAGTGGGGGTGACAAACACAAGAAAACATTATAATGGAGACGTCAGACATAAAAGATAAAACATATACACTCCCCAGTGTTCTTGAGCCACCAGGTTCGGGAGTCCTGGCCTCTGGTAGTCTTCATATGGAAGATCTTTTTCCTCTTCTTCTTTACATTTACCGGCTGTAATCTCCGGCAGAAAGTTCTGGCTGTTTGTGCAGCTCCTGAGTTTAGTCTTGTTTCAGAACCTGAATGTTGCGTGCGCATCCATTTTACAGATCTAACTCTTTTGTATGCAGACTTTGGCAGATGCACTCCGACTTCGAAGGAATATCCCAGTTAGTCGACTGTTACGATACCCATGTTTAAAAAGGGGGCGGGGGCAGTGGAATGTTTCTCGTTTCCCCCACAGTGGGGTTCTGAAACCCATACGGACAAAAAAGATATTGTTACAGTCACTCAATACTGGCAAACTACATCCGTCCTTTTTGGATATCTCTGTTGGCAATATCATCATCATCATCAACATAATCATTATTCAGTATCACTGAGCGTCGTTGCGTCACCAGTTGCTATTGACTGTCTGGTTAGTTCTCTCCACAAAATCTGATTTGTTCAGTGCGTGTTAAAAAAAAAAAAAAATTTCGGTTTGTCCTGAATATGTACTCGGTTTTTTTTCCTTCATCAATTATGACATGCAGTAAACAATATTAAAAATGTAATTAAGATAAGAAAACTACCTCATAATGATATTTAAAGTCGACGTTGACCGTGTTAGCTCGGTCACATGGGCTGCTCCTGTACCTGAAGGCGCTGTGAGATCTGAGATCCTCCAAGAGCTGCTCTTTGCCTGACCGTCGAGCTGACCTATTGTTGGGCAGCAATGAAGCTCTAGATGTTGCCAACATCAGCAACATTCTCCACCACATCCTCCCACCTGTCGATGATTATAGTATCGATTTACTGGGCGCACAGGTAAGACGAACAAGGCTACATAACCCTGAGGGATTTGATCTGTTTAGTTCTCCCAGCCCGGCCCTCCACCCCTCCGCCCTACCTTTTCAATCCCATCTCTAGAAAATGTGTATGCAGACTGAGTGGCTATCAAAAACGTGCATAGTTCTTTTTCTATGCTTTAGTTATCTTTCTTTAAAAAGAGAAAAGAAAATCCTATTTTCTTTTCAAATATACTTTTAAAAATGTATTGCCATTCAGCACAAAATAATAACACACAAAAATTATTATTATTATTATTATTATTATTATTCACAATTAAAGGACCCTTTCAACGATATGGGGGTTTTGGACATACAATTGCTAACGGGTTCCTATAGATACGCAGATTGGCAATAGTCCACTAAATAGACCATATTTACGCCAGCGGTGTGTATAGTATGTGACGTTGGACTGTTATTTCAATAGACGAGTTGCACTTGGTTGGTGGAGTTGTCAACATCACGCCGGTCGCCTTTACTTCCCAGGAAATTACTAGGTATCCATTTCAAGCTGGGTCGGCGTGAAAACCAAAACTGGTTCACAAACAAAAAAGGACGAGGGGGTGGTTCTGTTTCGATGCCTTTTTTTTTTTTCACTTCACCTCATCTGCGATCGGTTTCAAGTGCTGATGTTGTCAGTTGTGTTACCTCCATGAACCGACAGGGCAGCAGCAAGTTTCCAAGAGTTGCCCAAATCTCCTACAGGGTGCCTCTTGCCCCTGGCCATGTGTACATGCCTATTTGAACCCTAAACCCCAAACCTTCAGGATGGTAGGCAAACGTCTAGCCAACACACACTACTGTAGCACCCCTTTGTTATTTAGGTTGAATTTTTTTTTTTTTTTTAGTAAAAGACTGTCCACGCCTCGTGGGCTATTGGGTATATGATGCTAAATTTTGTTTGTGTACATACCGACACAGGTAAAAGCTTCATATCAAATTTCACAATGGTTTAGAATAGTGGTCCTGAACATTAGTCAGATGGGGGCTCCCTTGAATATATCGTGATCTCCCCTCCCCCAACATATCACACAAAATAAGGAGAAAAAGAAAAACACCAATCACTGCTAATAAGAACTTGGAGAAATACATCCACATAGATTGAAGTGTCATCTACAAAAAAATGTAGTCACTAATAACTGGTAATTTAGTATCCAAATATCAAAGTGATGGTTAACACTGTTTTGTCTTGATGATATCTTCTATTTGTCGTTTGATGTAGGACAAGATACATCGAATACCACTCTCCACAACAAGCTGGCAACGTTGTTTGGTCTTCATGACTGTTGAAGCTGAAAATCAGACGTGGTAGACCTGCAGACTATCTTGCTAAAACACAAATTTCCCCGCAACTGGGGCCAAACCTGCCACCTTGGAATTATGAATCGGGTTTGCAACGCCTAGGCCACAAAATGAATTACATAAGGCAAGAAAGCTTGCATGAGACCATGATCCGTATCATCGAAACATAGGAGAGCGACGTTCTGCAAAGAGATTGTTTTGTAACGCTAAAGGTCGATACTCAGTACGTAACGTAGCACATATTACGCTTTCTTTTCTGCTGTATATTTGCTGGTATCCTTTTGTTATAGGCTAGAGAACGCCAAAGACTGCTGTAGAGCAGATTGTTGATTTTGGTTTGTTTCGCCGATACCTTTATTTAGTCTGGTTTAAGAAAGCGGAAAAGACTGGCCACTGTGTATAAAAAGGCCAGCTCCCTCGCTATTTTTTTTCGTTCGGACTAAACCTGCACGGGACCCACCCAGCTGTTGTGGCTCTGCACATTGGGCTAGACAGCGTGGGTATGGGTGACTGCAGGGGAAAGCCGGTATCCTGGCTGGTTTCACGGTACGCTTCAACAGCTTAGTTAGTGTTGAATTTATTTCCTTTGTGCATCCTCGCTAGGAGATAGTTTGATGGCAGGTCACTATTAGTGATTTGTTGGTCTGGTGACATAATAACGCTTAACATACATGTTAAATATATTTAGATTTTTGCCATTGTTGAGGTAATCTCGCTGAGCGTATGGTGTCATTATCATAGTTCCTTGTTAGCGGAGATGATTAGCTCTTTAGATTCTGCCGCTAGTCGAGCACCTTAGTTGTTGTTAATGTTGTTACTTGCGAACAACGCTGATTTTATGTTAAGTGAAATAAACAGATGTTCAATGTGGTAATCATAGATCCAGTTGTTTTTGGTTCAGATTAGTGTTAGTGTTAGTGTGCCTAGTTTTTTTTTCTTGGCTGATCTAGACTGTACACGAAATATCTCTTGTCTGGGCTAGAATATTTATGTTTCTAGTTCCCGCCTAACGAACTCTTTTTCTTAGGGCTTCTCGCTTCTAGTACACTTTTTCTTCTTCGTTCGTTCGCTTGTTGTCTCTAGTATGAACTTCACTGTCTTTTGTGATTTACTCAGCGACCCGTAAAGTTTGACTTGCATCGATGTTTCTCTTGGCAAAAAGGTTTGCCTTAATATGTTGTATTAGGGACAGTCTTGGAGGACTGGTATGGCTGGTATCCATATTAAACTGATTCGTAATTTCAACGTACCGTGAACGAAATATACTGCTGGCTGCGTGAATTTGTATCATCGTATATGGCGTCGCAG